GCCCCCGCGGCCTCCGCGGCCCCCGCGGCGGCGGCCCTCCTAGCCGGCCCCTTCCCCTCCGCCCCTGCTGCTCCGGCGGGGAGGCTGTTTGCTCGAATCACGTCGGGATAAATACGAGCGGGGAGGACTCTGTCCACTTCCGCCGGAGGGCCCCCAGGCGGTGCTGCCGCTGCGTCAACACAACATGTCAAACTGTTTCCCTATAACCATAACCCCTGGGACGCCGGTCGGCTCGGCTTGGCGCGCGCCTCGCTCCTCCGATCGGCTCGGCTCGGCGACTTCCAATCCAAACGGCGGCGGCGCCCCGATGGTGGCGGAGCGCCGCGGCGGCTGGCTCGCGCCACCAAAGCAGCTTACTACGTCCGTTATGTCCAGGGAACGAACATCCATGACCAACACGCCATCTCATCTCAAAGCCCATGCGTCTTTTCCTGTCAAGTTTTCTTATCGCCCAAATAGCTATGGTCGTACTGCGGTCAGATTATTTCACATTTTTCAAAACTCTTCATTCACGAAACAATGTCGTAAATTTATGAAAGCACGTTGTTTATTTGCGACAGCTGGTCGAAGACAATTTTGTTTGATAGTTTCTAGAAATGTGAAAGTTCGCACACCATAGAAACATTGAAAAATTTCCCGTAACCCATGGGCTTTGCAAAAGCTGTACAAAAAAAACAACTTGTGTTTAGTTGTTCTTTTTTTTTTCACTGAAAATCAAATTTTATCTTGCCTGGGGGACTTGCGAAGTGACTCAGTTTCTATAGAAAATACTCCTAATCACGACTAATATTTTACTCAGTGTCCTTTTCCCCACACCCTTACTTCTCCAAGGACACAGTCTCTGCGTTGTTGTACGTGTAGCGCACTCACCTGCTAAGCTCGGCCGACACGAGGTTGGAGTGCGGCGCGAACCTCGCGGGGTTCTTGTACATGGAGCAGACGAGCCGCTCGCGGCAGGCCTCCTCGTTGAAGCCCAGCTGCACGAACACGCCGTCCATGCGCTGCAGCAGCGGGCTGTAGAAGGCGTCGTATGCCACCTCCACGGTGGGGCCGACGATTGGGCCGACGTCGTTGAGACTGGGCGCGCGCGTTGGGCTGGCCGAGTCAACCTGCGTGAGGGAGAAGCAGAACAGGGTCAGCAGGCGGCGAGCACAACACCGCGCCAGGAGCTGTTGACATAGTAGTAGGGTTTTATTGCGTCTCTGTTTACAGAAAGCAATTCCTCGTCGCGTAATACAGTAGAAAGAGAGGGAAGGGCCAAGAGTTCTTGAGCTCTGGATCGTTGGCCGAGGAAACAACCACTACCTAAGTTTTCCGAAGTCCTCCGGCAATGCTGTTGGACGAAGGTGTATGATACGGTGCGATATAGTCGGGTCCCTCGACCATCGCCTCACGCCATACAGCGCAGCAGGGTGGTTCGGCCCTTATCTAACCTTTAGACCGCGGATTGAAAAGACGGACAGTTTTACACATGTTTTTTCTTCCTCCACTGTCAATAGGCCTGGAACACCCCATTAAAGGCTCGGATGAGAAAGAGCGAGCCTCGGGTCTTGGGTGCGTCTGCTCTGTGCGCGGACATCCAATGTAGGTAGGATCTGCTTTGGGTCCCCGGGGCCTGGAGTGGGGCAGGAGGAACTCCGCCGAGCGTCGAGGGGGAATCCCATTACTCCCCCAACTTCGATGAGGAGGGAATCATCCGAGGGGGCGAGCCTGGCCGGGCTGGGGGGTGGCGCCGGGTGGCTGCAGCACGACACTACACAAGTTGCGCACGGCAATCTGCTGGTACTTAGCATGGCCCTGGCCCCGAGCGGCGGCGGCGGAGATCCGCGCTCCGGCGGCTCCAAGTGGAAGTGGAGAGCACACTACCCTCGTCAACAACCGCCTCGTCGCAACCGCAACCCTCGCGAAGGCGGCCCGCGGCACCTCTCCCTTCACATCGTTATTGTCGTGGCATCCATTCCACTTGACCGCGGAGAGACGAGAAATATCCATCTACCCAGTTTGCTAAACCTCTTCCTCTTATTTCCTGCCCCCCCCC